ACCCACAAACACATAAATGTGTGCATCCATGTGGCTGTGAACATGTGTCCACAGACCCTATGGGCTCTTCTTTCTGGTTATGCAGAAGCCTCTTGCCTTGTGTCTCTGTTGTGCTCTGTCTTGGGGTGCATGGGTTACATAGTTACATGTGCCACAGTCATGTGGTTGGAGCAGGGAAGGAAAGACAGGAAACACAAAGACGGCAGCCCCCTCTCTCTTATAAATTATTGCAAATAAGACAGCACTGGGAAAAGATTCAGATTGACTCCAGCAGCACTTGTGAGGTGAAAAGTCCCAGAATAAATGGGAGGCTGGGCAGCTTTTCTTTGGAATCACAGATTCCATGATCCTATATAGTGCAGTTACTCCTGATGGCCTTCACTTGAACGCTATGAGAATTTAGTAGGAGTTGGGGGACCCCTAACTAGAACTGTATGAGACCTTAATAATGAGACTGATTAATGGGATAGGGTCTTTGTTCCAAGGCTGTGGTAAGGAATTGTCCTACCAGAGTCCTTAAAGTGGGGGGGTACAGTTTGTTAAATGAACCCCAGCAGGTCCAGACTTTGATGATGTCAAAGGTGGGCAGGAGATCCCACTATTGGTTGGGACATTTGTCTTCTGAGAACCAGCTGTCAGGATCCTAGCTGTCTGGAGGGGTGCTGTGGCCCCTGGAACTCTGGGACCCAGCAGCTGAGGCCACTTTGGGAAGAGTTCAGCTTGAGGCTTTTAGGTCAGGATTGAGTGGCAGGTGGGACACTGCTTATAAAAACTGGTTTTGTGTCAGACCAAACATGGTTTTCATGTTTTATGCAAGGAGATGCTTGAAGGAGCAGCTAGCTGTGTTGCCTATTGTCTGCTGCCTGCAATAGCTCTGGCCTCTCTTGTGGATGACAGGATGGGTCCAAAGTGTTTGTTCTCTGGTGATGAGGATGATTGTGGGCAGCTTGGTGCCAGGCTGTCTGGGATGAGTGGGACCACTGACCCCCATCTCTTTAAAAAGTCTCCCTGTGTTGCTAGCTGGGCTGATCACATAGCAGGTGTCCCTGCTTCTCATTCCTGATGTCTGCACTCGGGGAGGGTTGGTGGCAGGGCTCAGTAGGTCCCACAGAATTCCCAGCCACACTTCCCCTAGGACCTAAGGTTTGTACTGTGGAAATGGCATGGGGTCAGGTGCAGAGGAGCCTTCAAGTGGAGACTGGTGAGGGCCTAGTACACCTTTCTGCTCTCTAGGTGGACCGGGTCAGTTACCTGCTTCAGGAGATCTATGGCATTGAGAACAAGAACAACCAGGAGACCAAGGTATGTCCTTGTGGCCAGCTATGTGCCCCAGGTTTCTATCTGTCTTTTGGAGGCTTGCTCACTTCCTGGGGTCTCCAGGTGTGGCCTAAGGCCCATGAGAGTTGATGGGAAAGAGGTCTAGAGGCATTGGAGGCCCAAGCCTCCAGACTCCCATCATTTTTCCTTATTCCCTTTAAGAAGTTACATTAGTCAGGCTTTTGCGTCTCTGTGACCGAATACTTGAAAAATAACTTAAAAGAAGACAGTTTGCTTCAGCTAAGTTTTACAGGCTTCAGTTCACATGGCAGGGAAGGCAGAGTGGAAGTAGCTCACTTCATGGCAGCCAGGAAGCAGAGAAAAGAGGAAAGGCCTGCACAAGCTACCTACCCTCCACGGGCCTGCCTCCAGTGACATGGTTCCTAGAGTTCCTGGAACCTCCCCAAACAGCTGGGTTCTGAGGCCCTGGTTCATGAATCTTTTAGGGAGACACTTCATACCCAAACATAACAAAAGGCAACAGTTTTTGGAACATTTTTGTCCTTTTTCCAGTAAGTTCACCAGCATGTTATTTAAATCACTATCTAGGTTGTTCTGGGCAGCCTGGGTACAGGGACCCTCAGCCCTCTCTCCCCCAGCTGGGCATAGCTGCCTTTGGGTTTTTCCTTAGTCAGAGGCTGAGCTGCCTTGTCCTCTATCTGCTGCTCCCATCTCCTCATTGGCAGCCCTGAAGACTGGTAGTTAGAAATGCATTCCAGAAAGCTCTAGAAGCTGTGGTAGCTGATAGAGTAGAGGTCCAGTAGGACCAGGGAAGTACAGCAGAATATAAAATTGGAATCTGGTTGCCTCTCACATTGTTTAAAGATACAATTGTGTATCTTTAAAAAGTCTGCTCCCCTTCTCTGAGTGACTGCATTTCCCATAACCCCCTACCCTGAGGTCCCAGATTGTACATATCAGTGGTTTTTGCCTCTGTGTTGGACTTATGCTGGGGACAGGGAAGATTTCTGTCTTTTACAGTATCTAGTCTTGAGAGGATCCTTTCTCAAGAATAGACTTCGCACTTCCCTTGATGTCTAGCTAAGGTTTTGACTCCACACATGGTCCTGGGCACCTAGGCCTTGACATTGGGCTTTTCCCATTCCCAATCACCAAGAAGTTTTCCATCACTTTTTGTTACTCATCTATAGCCCCAGTGTGCCTTCACCTGTTTCCTACAGAAAATGTAAAACACCTAATTGAGATAAAAATCATAGTCTGGGAGATTAAAAAAATAAAGTCTGCTACCCATGAGCTGGAGAGATGGCTCAGTGCAAAAGCACTGAGTGCTTTTGTAGAGGACCTGGCTTTGGTTCCCAGGACCCACATGGTGACTCACAACCCTCTGGAACTCCAGTTCCAGGGGATCCAACTCCCTTTTCTGGTCTCTGTGAGCACTGCATCCACAGGTACACTTACATACGCTTGGGGGGAAAAGCACTCATACACATAAAAATATTTTTTTAACTTTATTTATTTATTTTTTATTTTATGTGTATGCATGTATTGCCTGCATGTAGGTGAATGTACCTGTGTCGTGCAATGCCCAAGAAGGTCATAAGAGCCAGTTGGATTCCCTGGGACTGGAATTATGGACAGTTGTTAGCTGCCATGTGGGTATGGGATTCAAACCCCAGTCTTCTGCAAGAACAACCAGTGTTATTCTAGTCCCAAAATAAAAATATTTAAATAGGGCTGGATGTGGTGGCACACACCTTTAATCCAGCACTCCGGAGGCTGAGGCAGGTGGATCTCTGTGAGTTCAAGGCCAGCCTGGTCTACATAGTGAGTTCCAGGACAGCTGGGGCTACAGGGAGACCCTGTCTCAAAAAGACCAAAAAAAATAAATTAAAAAAAATGTAAAATCCGTTGCCCTTCTTGTTGTGGTTTTAAATTTTATTTATTTTTATTTGTGTATGAGTGTTTTGCCTACATATATGTAAGTGTACCATATAGATGCATTGCCTGCAGGGGCCAGAAGAGGGTGTTGGATCCCCTGGAATTGGAGTTACAGATGGTTATTAACTGCATGCGGGTACTGGGAACTGAACCCAGGTCCTCTGCTAACTGCTGCATCTCTCCAGCCCCATTTTGTGGTGTTTTTTGAAAAAATATTTTTTTACACTTATTTTGTATATGTGTATGTCTATGTATATGTACAGGCATGCATGTGCCATGGTGTGTGTATGGAGGTTAAAAGACAACTTGTAGGAGTCAGTTCTCTCCACCATGTTAATCCTCTTGGATCCAACTCAGGGCATTAAGCTTGAGAGCAATCACCTTGCTTACTGAACCATCTTGCAGGCACATGCCACCTATTTCTTAAAGACTCTGAAAGTCACACCTACAATCCCAGCACTCTGGAGGTGGAGGCAGGAGGAAAGCGAGCTACAACCATAGCATGTACTGTGACGGAAACAAAATGACTTGTAAAGCGAAAAATGTCTACTTTGTGGTTTGATGGCCCTAGGGTCAAACATGCAGGTGAGCAGTGCAAGCTCACTGAGGCCAGACCTGGCTAGGCTACATAAGGAGATCCTGTCTCAAAAAACAAGCAAGACTGAAAGTCACACAACAGCTTCAATGTGGTATCAGAACAACTGGAACTGGCCTGGAGTTGGACAAGCTGGGCAGCCTAGCCAGGTTAGTGAGCTTGCACTGCTCACCTGCATGTTTGACCCTAGGGCCATCAAACCACAAAGTAAACATTTTTCGCTTTACAAGTCATTTTGTTTCCGTCACAGTACATGCTATGGTTGTAGCACAGAAGCAACCCAGAGAGGGCTGGAGCAATATCTCAGCAGTTAAGAGCTCTAGCTGCTCTTGCAGAGGACCCAGGTTCAATTCCCAGCACCCACATGGCTGTTGACAACCATCTGCAACCCCAGTTCCAGGGAATCCGACACCCTGCCCTCTTCTGACCTCTGTGGGCATTGCATGACATTTACATGCTGGCATTACATTCATACACATAAAATAAAAAAATAATAAAATATTTTTTTTCAAAGCATCAGCAGTCCAGAGAGTACAAAGACAGTGTGACTATGTTCCAGTAAAGCTTTATCCACCAATACAGATAGGTTCAGTTTTCCAGTCCATTTAAGCCTTTTACATGTTCTCATTCCAGGTCATGGTAGGTTTCTGCAAGCTGATATTAATGAGAAAGTATTTCCTACCAGTTAGATCTGCTTGATAGTTTTGACTGAGTAGTCAGCCCAGTGCCGTCATGCCTCTCTGCTTCTGGGGAGCAGAAATACTTAATGGTTGAGGTGGGGAAAGGTACAGGTTCTTCCCTCTGTGTGAGCCTGATGTCCCCTGTGGTGCTCCCGGAGCTCTGCCTCGTCCCAGTGCTTCCTGCTCTCAGACATTCCCTTTGCTGCACAGTCCCTAGGGATAGTCATGCAGTTAGGCACAGGAGGACTTACTTGCCTTGGGCAACTTCAGGTCTGCCCTCTGGATCTTAGGAAGCCACTGACACACAGACCCTGATCTCCACAGCCTTCTGATGACGAGAACAGTGACAACAGTAGTGAGTGTGTGGTGTGCTTGTCTGACCTTCGGGACACACTGATCCTGCCCTGCCGCCACCTGTGCCTCTGCACCTCCTGTGCTGACACCTTGCGGTACCAGGCCAACAACTGCCCCATCTGTCGGCTTCGTGAGTATCGTCCAGGGAAGGTGAGGGAGATTTGCAATACCCATTACACCAATCTTGGACCAGGGCAATTTGGGTGCCACCAGATCCTGTTGGCTGAGAAATGGAAGCATCATGGGCTTTTCACACAGGCATGATGCTAACCACCAGTTAGTTGACATTAGCATCTGCAGCACTTCATCAGCACATGGTCAGTGCAGATGCCATCTGCCTCCAGGATAGGGAAAGATTGGAAGGAAGGCACAGAGGTGCTCCAAGTCAGATACTTGTGGTGACACTTGAACTTGATGGTAGCAGGCAGATTGACTACTGAACAAAATCTGCTGTAAAGGTTACATAGGAACTATTTTGAAAAGCAAAACAGTGTGCTGGGTAGAAAGTTGGCAGGCAGTGGCTAGGCTCCCTGCTACCATAGTGGACTCTTAAGGAAACTTGCCCAAGCTTATAGCTAGTGAGAGTCACAGTGGGCTCTGGGTGAGGTTTTGCCTCCAGCTCTTGACCCCACTGCCTGAAAGTAGCACATGTCCCCCTGAGAGGTGGGGTGAGTGGCCAGGCTGTTCGTGTAGCATGTGCATGCACTGTGGATTGTAGGAAAGGCTACATCTACAGGCATAGAAAATGAAGTGCATGTTATAGAGCATCCAGAGTCTAGGAGGAAAGCTTAGCCAGCAGGACAGGGATCTGCAGGTGGGACTAGCGTAGGTGTTTCATGAGCCCCTCCTGCCAGGAAAGCAGGGAGTGTTCCAGGCTGAGCAAGTATAACAAGTACAGTGTGACCAAGTAGAGGTACTGCTCTTGTATAGGTGGTACCCAGGGTGTCTACTGAGAACTCAGCATACTGGGTGTACCCAGCTGCTCAAGGCTTTCCCAAGGGCTCCCTGCAGGCTTCAGCCTGTGAGAGGAAATGCTATCAGTGGAACTGATCACCAGTGTTCCCTGCTTGTCCTGGCCTCCTGGAACACTCTGGGAGTGTGGTGTGGGGACTCAGGAGGTCAGAGCAGGGCCAGTGTAAGTCTATCTGGATTGCTAGGCAGGGACTTTAGCTGACAATTTTATAACCCTATGTTGCAGATGTGAAGCTCTGTGAATCCTAGTTCTAGCCCCCACTGCATGTCCTTCTTCACTTGGTTGCTTAATCTCCAGCTATGGATAGTTGTAGAAAAGTGAGGCTATTATAGGAGCTCTAGATACAAAGGACATACAGGTCTCTGTATCCAATCAGGGACTACTGTCTGGGAAACTATCCTTGTTCACGCCTTTCCCTCTGCCACAGCATTCCGGGCCCTCCTGCAGATCCGGGCAGTACGGAAGAAGCCAGGGGCCCTGTCTCCTATCTCCTTCAGCCCTGTTCTGGCCCAGAGTGTGGACCACGACGAGCACTCTGTAAGTGCCTTCCCTCCTTCCTCATCTTGCCTATTGGGCAGGCAGGGCCCCCACACTAGCCTGTGAGGTGCTGATCAGGGACCATATTGGGCTGTGTACCCCTGCTGACTGGAGCCTTGTCAGGCAGGTCAGGGCTGGGTTGGGCTGACAGGAGTGTGTTGGGCCATGGTGGTCCTTCTCTGAGGTCTGCCACAGTGTTTGTCATCATCTCCACTGTCACCTTAGGCAGCACTTTCTGAGGGTTACCTGTGCATTCTTCCTGCATGCTTCCTGCCCGAGAGCTGGCTGCCATCTCAGCCTCGAGGCCCCCTCCATAGGGGACTTGACTGCACAGGTAGACCTGGTTTCAGGCAGACCAAGAAGGTCTAGTCACTTCAAGGACCCAAAGAGTGAGACAAATTAAGAGATGAGACTTAAACAGAAATATACAGGAGATATGGCTCAGCAGTCTGTTCTTCCAGAGGACCTGGGTTCAATTTCCAACACCCATATGTGGCTAACAACTGTTTGTAACTCCTCCCGGGGATCCGACACCCTCTTCTGGCCTATGCAGGCATTGCGTACACGTGGTACACATATGTGGAAGCAAAGTTCTCATACACAAAAAATAAAATTAAAATAATTAAAAAATGAAAAGAGCCGGGTGTGGTGGTGCACACCTTTAATCCAAGCACTCGGGAGGCAGAGACAGGCGGATCTCTGTGAGTTCGAGGCCAGCCTGGTCTGCATAGTTCCAGGACAGCTGGGGCTACAGGGAGACCCTATCTCAAGACCAACAAATAATAATAATAATAATAATAATAATAATAATAACAATAAAAATAAAAAGAAATAGTGGGACTTGTGTGCTCACAGACAGGGAGAGAGCTTCCTAGAGATGGGTGAGGAGTCGACAAGGGAAGCTGAGGTGGTGGGGAAAGAGAGAAGGTGTGCAAGCTGAGACAAGGCTTGGTTTTGGGCTCCCACATATATCTGCCATAGGTGTACTCCTTTTGGGCCAGTGGCTCTTGAAGACCCTGCCTCCTCGTCAAGAGGAAAGAGCAGTAAGCCCCGTAGCATGGGACATCCAGGGGACAAAGCCTTTGCTCCTAGTGGTTTCTAGAAGGCCTGCTTTATTTATATCAGGCTCTTTAGTTGGACCCAGCCAGTGACCCCAGCAGCAGATGTGATGAACTCTCACAATGTGTTTCTGAAATTGGGCCAATATTGAAAGCCTGGAAGTGTCCCTTGAAAACCAGGTTTTTCACTTCTCTATCAAAATGTGAGGTTGTGGTCTGGCAGCTGGAACAGAGGTGTAGCATCTCCGCTCTGTCAACACAAGGGCTCCTTCTAGCATGCCTTGTGGGCTTTGGTTAAGGAACCATGCACTCACCAGGCATGTGCTTGCTGTTGGCAGGAAAAAAGGTGCTGAGGTGGGGCAGCCTCTTGAAAGAGGGGTCTGAATATTGCAGAGGGACCCACTGGCACTTGGCAGTGCTGGGCTTGTTTTGGTTAGTTTACCCTGATGGGTAAGGGTTCAGGAGGATCCCTTCCTGTTCTCTTACCCTAAGTGAGTGAAGTGCAGGGTGGCTGTGGCCTTGAATTGTAATCAGCCAGCAGCGCTAACCTTCCCTGGAAAGGCCAAGACACTCTCCCCCACCCTTTGCAGGGTTCATAGTGTCTAAGTGAGTTCTTGTTTTCTGCCACCCGCCCTGTTCAGGCCTATCTCTGGTAGTGCTCAAATGAGGTCTCCAAGGAGTTACTGAGATAATGATGAGGCTGAGTGTCCAGCCCCTCTCATGCCACCTTGACCAAGACCTACTGCTCTGGGGAGACCCAAACCATGAGTGGGTAGGGTTGAGGATGGAAATGGGCCCTCTACCCTTTCTGCTCTGAGTGAGACCCATTACAGGGCTCCTAGGAGCTGGTTGGATATACAGGCAGCCTGCCTAGTACCCTGATACAGAACTTGTGTTGAGTGTGGTCCTAAGATCAACCATACTTTGTGGATTCCTGGGTGTGCATGAAGGGGCAGTAAACCAGAGGCCCCACCCCACCTGTCCCCATATCATGTGGGGGTGAAGGTTGTAAAATATGTGATTTTTATTTTGACAGTGTCCCTTTAAAAAATCAAAGTCGCACCCCGCCTCCCTGGCCAGCAAGAAACCTAAAAGGGAAACAGTAAGTGTGTTTGGTCGTATAGCTCCGTTTTTGCCCCGCACCTTATTTTTAAACCAACAAGTGTGGGAAATCATTCTCGCCCAGGCTAATCTGTTTAACACACTCTGTCAAATCCCCAGTCCCGGCACCCCTGCCCAGGAAGGGAGTTTTGTGGAACCAGCAAAGCTGAAGGTCTGTTGGCAAAAGGCCGTTGGTGTTGGTGCCTCAGGCACCAACCATCCTTCTTACCAGCTTTGCTCGCCATGGCTCGCAAGTGCCCGTTTCCCTTTTTTTTCTTGCTGGCAGTGGATTGGATGTTCAAGATAGAACTAATGGCACTCCTTTTTGCACACTGCATTCTCCCGCATGCTTATTAGTCTTGTATCCCTGGCTCTCTGACTCTTGAAGTTGGCTCTTTGGGATGAGGACTCTGGTTTTCTGGCATTTCCCCTGCACTTTAGGGACCAGGCAGGGGGAGCAGAAGGCAGGTGGTAGCTAGATCAGACTTCTTCCTGGGGTCTGCTGACCTGGGAAGACCCATTTGAAAACCCATGGTATAACTTAGGGAGGTGGAAGTTGCTTGGGAAGCAAACCAGAGTATTTCATTGTGGAGAGGTGTAGGGCTTGGGGCAGTTCTTTACTTTTTTAAAGTCGAAGGCAGGTGGGAACAGGTAAGGGTAGCCAGAGGTCTAAAATGTACCACCAGCCTAGTGCCCACTACAATCTCCAGGGGTGCTACTCCATCCTTCCTCCTTCCAGGGACTGAGTAGGCCAGAGCCTCCTTTATGAGCACTTATGAGTACTGGCCACTCTACCTGGTTTGTAAGAACTTGTGGAGGAGCACAGTCCCTCTGCAGCATCTCATGGCCTAACTGCTGTCCCTGGAAGCTGGGCACATTCCTTGTCTCTCAGTCTTGCTGAGTACATCTACTCCTAATCAGGGACTACACTAGCTCTTACCCCACACTCCTACTGCCAACTTGCTTGGGGTTCCTGAAGGCCAGACTTCACACTCTAGCAATGGTTCTCCTGTGTCTGGCATGGCTCTGCTCTCCCTGCTCCTGAGTTCCCCCTGCTGTCACTAATCCCCTCACATGCTCCACTCCTGCAAGGCGGAACAGCAAGCCAGGTAGGGGCTGGGTGGTGATGGGGACAGTATGCTCCCTTGCCAGTCATTCTGGGCACCTGGGTATTGGGGTGTGTGAAGGATCTGGTGGCTGAGGCAGTCCTGAGCAGAATGGCTTCAAGTCTACAAGACAGCTCTTAGCAAGGGAGGGGGCATTTAAGTCCCTGCAAGTGGCATGAGCAGGACACAGTCAGCAAAGCAGGTCTGGGGAGGAGAATGTTCCATTTCTGGGGCTTTGTGGCTGTGGTCAAGGAGCCTGGCTGGGCCCTCTCACATGCCCTTGTCCCTGCAGAGCTCTGACAGTGTCCCACCTGGCTATGAGCCCATCTCCCTGCTTGAGGCACTCAATGGTCTACGGGCCGTGTCCCCAGCCATCCCTTCGGCCCCCCTGTATGAGGAAATCACCTACTCGGGCGTCTCAGATGGCCTGTCCCAGGCCAGCTGTCCTCTCGTTGGACTCGATCGAATAATGGAAAGTGGCCACCAGAAGAGCAAACCACAAAGCAAGTCTCCAGACAGGTGAGGCCATTGCCCAGTCTCCCTCTGTGGAGGTGTATATCAGCACACCAAGTGAGTGTGTGTGGAGGAGTGAGAGTGTTTAGCATATGTGTGCATATGAGACTTGGAAGGTTTTTCAGAACTTTATAAGATATTTTGTTCATTGATCCCTGGAACGCCCAAGACCCAGCAACAAGTCAGATTCTGCCATAGTTGATCATAGCCAACAACACAGCAGAACAGTGCAGCAGGGTAGGTGCTGGGTGAGGCTCCCAAGGTCCTCAGGCCCCAGGCCACACCAACCATTTGTTCTCAAACCGAAGGGGCCTGTGACATGTCCCTCTCCAGGGAGCTGGTGTGAATCCCAGGACTTTATGGCAGCTACTCATATAGGCATATTTCACCAAGTGTCTCTCACCAAGTGACCGTGATGACAGCTGAAACTCGGACTCCAGGTGAAGCAGGTGTACATTGCTGCTCTTGGCACCCACTGAGTCTTTGCTCCCTTTACAGCCTTTAAGAACATGTCAGAGACTTTACCCATGGGCTCTTTTCACTGGCATGTATATCTGTTTATATTGGATGACCTGTAACTTTCCACTTCAACAGGTTGTAATCCATTACTCTTCAAATTGTATGAGATTTTTGAGGTGTATTTTTGCTAGGTTATCCTGTCTTTTTCTTCTTATTTTTAGCTGCATACAAAATAATGGTAATTACTGTGACATTTTCATACATGTGTATCATTGTCCTGTGCTTATATCATCCCTCACTACCCTCCCTTTTCCTCACATTCTTTTCCCTTCTCCCTAAATAGTCCCATTTTCTGCTTTCATGTTTTATTTACATATGTATATGTATGTGTATTATGTATATATTTATTGATTTTTTTTGAATTTCATTATATATATAATTCCTCTTCTTTTTTTTGAGACAAGGTCTCCTTGTTAGCCCCAGCTGGCCTGGAACTCACTGTGTAGACGAGGCTGGCCTCACTCTCACACAGATCTACCTGCCTCTGCCTTTGGAATGCTGGGATTAAAGGCATGAGCCACCATGTCTGGCTTTCATATAATATATTTTGATCAAATTTAGATTCCCTTCCCCATCTGCACCCCCTACCACCCCCACCCAATTTTGTTTACTCTATTACTTACGTGCGCACATGTGTGTGTGTGTGTGTGTATAAATAAAAATAAAGGCCTATAAAGTCAAACTTGTGTCCCCAAATGGTCTTTGATGTAGGTCCACTGGAGGCTAGTCAGTGTATCAAGGGTCTCATCCTTAAATGAGACTGACTCTTCGCCCTCCCAGCAGCCATCAGTTACCAGTAGTTCTCAGGTGGGGTTGGGGTTTCTTACCCACCTCCCCATGTCCATGCTGAGATTCTGTCTGACACAAGCTTGTGTGGACCTTGTCCATGCTATCACCATTGCAATGAGTTCATATGAGTAACTGCCCAAGTGTCTCCCTGGGTCATCCACTCCTCTGGCTCTTAACAATCTTTCTGCCCCTCTTCCACAATGATCCCTGAGCCTTGGGAGGCAGACGTTTGAAATAGGTGTCCTTTTCAGACTCTTATTCTCTGCATGTTGGCCAGTTGTGGATCTCTGTGTTAATCACCATCTGCTGTATATAGAAGCTTCTCTGGTGAGACTTGAGAGATGCATTAATCTATGGGTATAACAATAAGTTGTTAGAAGTCAGTTTAATACTGTATTTATTTACCAGAATAATAGTATTAGACTCTTGCAGAAGACCCAGGTTCTTATCCCAGTACCCACATGGCAACTAACAACTATCTGTTACTCCAGTTCCAGGGGATCCAATGCCGCCTTCTGTCCTCCACTGGCACTACACAACACGGGTGCACTTAACTTACATTGCAGGCATACAGTCATACACATAAAATACAATAGAATACAATACAATATTAATTAAAAAAATAATATTAGGCTCACCATTGTGGCTTGTGACCTGACTAGCCACAGGTTCCTAGGCCTGATATCAATGTCAGGTGTGGGCTCCAGCCTATGAAGTGTACCTTAAATCCAATTAGAGAGTGGTTGGTTACTCTTATAATGTTTGTACCACTATTGCATCAGTGGGCATATCGTGTAAGGCCAATTGTTTTAGTTTGTAGGATTTATAGCTGGGTGAGGTTGATGATTAATTTTCTCTTCTGGTAGCAAGCATAGCACCTTCCAGCACTATGAAATGAAAGCTAGCCAGTAGAGATGAAGCTTTGAAGTCAATTCCAGATTGATTTCTTTTTGATTGTTCTATAGCTCATGTATGCAGCGTCTTCAGCAATGGGGGTTTACTGTCAAGTTCTGGTTAGTAACCAAGAGAAGAGGCAGTATTGTTTGAGGGTCTTTGGAACCCCTGGTCAACAGCTTCAAAAGAGGGAGTCCATTCCTGGTAGTGAACTTTTACTTTGCTAGCCTATGGTGTCTAAAATAATTCCTTTTCATCTCTTTTTATAATGTGTATGTATATATTTTAAGATTAAAAGCTTCTATAGTGGTAGGTTTCCATGTGACTTTTTCTAAAGGCCTTTAGTGTTAGTTATTCCTCCCCATCCTCCTCCCTCTTCCCTGCTCTCCCATTCCCCGCCTCATTTAACCATACCTACTCTATTATTTCTCTTTCCCGCTTTATATCACTGCATTCTATCTTCTCTCTCATGAAGTCCTCCCCAGAGGTGTTTATTAGTTTCCTGACCTCTGGATTTTCTTGTTGAAACTTGCACGTGTAAGAATTCAAAGCTAGAGCCAGGCGTGGTGGTGCATGCCTCCCAGCACTTGGGAGGCAGAGGCAGGCAGATCTCTGTGAGTTCAAGGCCAGCCTGGTCTACATAGTGAGTTCCAGGACAGCTGGGGCTACAGGGAGACCCTGTCTCAAAAAGACCAAAAAAATAAATAAATAAAAATTAAAAATAAAATCTAGATTCTGTATTTGAGAACATCTATTTTCCTCCCCATTACACTGGATTATCACTTCTCCTTTTCGGCTACTTCTCCCCTCCCCCCACAAGTCCTTTTCTACTTTAAAGTCTTGTAAATTAATACGCTTATTTTTATATCCAGAGTCTACACGAGAGAAACACAATAATCATCTGTGTCTGATTTATTTTGCTCAATATTACCTCCAGTTCCACCCATTTTCCTGCAAATGACATAAATTTCATTCTTTTTAATTTTTCTGAGAAAAAGTGTCATGTAGTCTAGGCTGGCCTAGAACTCTTGATTCTCCTCCCTCTATCTCCCAAGTGCTGAGATTACAGGCATGTGTCATCATGCCTATTTTTTTTTTAATTTTTTATTGATTTTGATTATATGGGTAAGAGTGCATGTATATGGCCTGTATGCATGTAAGTGTACATACCCATTTTGTGCAATGTCCATGGAGATCAGAAGAGGGCATCAGATCCCCTGGAACTGGAGTTATAGATGGTTGTTAGTCACCATGTGGGTGCTGGGAATAGAACCTGGGTCTTTTGCAAGAGCAGCCAGTGCTCTTAACCACTGATCCATCTCTCCATCCCCCAACTGTATTTCTTTTGCAAACTCTTGAATTAAGTTATTAATTCAGTGCTTTAGAGTTCAACTTTCTGAGTATATGTTCTAGGTATTAATCTGTCAGATATGGGTTTTGTGTATGGTGTGGTTGTGTGTGTGTGTGTGTGTGTGTGTGTGTGTGTGTGTGTATGTGTTTCTGGGGGTTGAACCCAAGACCATGTGCACGTCAGGCCAATGAGAATGAGCACTGTGGAATGAGCTCCATTCTCATCCCGTGTCACAAGGGGCCTCCCCTAGGGCCACATTTCTCAAACTGAGCAAGGGTCAGTCTTGCTCCCTTGCAGACTAACAAGGAATGTCTGACCAGTCTTCCTGTGTTGACTCTCTCAAGAAGAAAAATAAAAAGTATAAATTCTGCAAGCTGCCCAGCCTCTGTGCTGTGTGCACATGAATCACAAAATCCCTCCTGCTGCTGTTTCCCAGGGCTCTACCATATATCTTCTAGAAATCAGGATGTCAGGCTTGTGTGGTATCCCTTGGGGAGCCTTTCTGGAGCAGGTCCATCATTGAGATATTCAGATCTTTGCTAAGAAGTTCCTTTTCCCAGGGAGCTTCTGTTTGGCAGGTCCACTTTGAGATGTTCCAGTCTTTCCTGAGATACACCTCTCACGGGGACCTTTTTCTCATAGCTCCTGCTCAGAGACTGCTGGCCCAATGTAGTTTTGGCAGGATCACATTCATCATCCAGCCATCCTCTAACTCCCCTTTCCTCCCTCTGTCCCCAGCACCCTGCGGTCCCCATCATCCCCCATCCATGAGGAGGATGAGGAGAAGCTTTCAGAGGACTCAGAAGTTCCTCTCCCACCAAGTGGTGTGGAGCTGGCGCTGCGGAAAAGCAGCTCCCCAGAGGTAAGGCTCATTCCCAGAGTGAGGCCCTGGCTAGCCTCCTCCAGACCCCTCTCACTGATCCTGTGCCCCCACTAACTCCCCAGGAACTGCTACACTGTAAGGCCACAGCCAGACCGTGTGACCAAGCTTCAGTGTCTTTGACTGTGGGCTGGGGTATCCTGTGATGGGAGTCACTTTAAATGCTATAGGCAAGGGCATGTGTGAAACCCAGCTCTCAGTGACATCTTTGTGTCCTGGAGTGGCAGCTGCTGCCTACTGCCCTCGGCCTGATCTCAGGAGTTTGGCCCATTCCGGCCTGAGGCTTTCTGCACCAGCGACCTTTCCTCTTTGTCTCCTAGAGTTTCGGAACAGAGGAGGTCGATGAGCCATCTCTAAAGCAAGGTGAGCCCCTTCTCCAGGTCTGTCCCTGAGCCCTTGGTAAACTTTGGGTCCTGGCTAGGGACAGCCCCACAGCCCTTGCCTTCAGGAACCTGGATTGTCAGTGTACAGGGATGATAGGGGCTTTGTGTAGGGCCAGCATGCTGTATGTGTCCAGGAAGAGCTGCCTAGGTATGGGAATAGAGCCAGGTGTTTTGGGGAATTGTTTGGCTATCTCCTGACGAAGGGAGAACAGCTGGCATCTCTTCACCTCCCTGTAGTGGAGGGCTTAATGGGTAGCCTAGGAGACCTGGGTTCTCACCGCCTCATGCTGGCCATGCCAGGTGGTAAGGTGCTTCCCAAGCCTGCCTCTGTTTAGTCCTTGTCACTGCTAGACTGAAAAGTAAAGCAAAGCTCAGGTCTTGCATCTGGGGGAAGCCCAAGGCCACTTGACTGGGAAGTGACAGAGCTAGGATGTGATCCTGGTTGGCAGCAAGGCCAGTAGAATGGTTAAGACCCCTGCATAACTGCAGCTGCTCTGTGTGCGCTACGCCCTGCTGAGGAGTGACTTGACCAGCTCCTCCATCCTCATAAGAGCCTGGACTGGGTATTGAGTGTGAGTGGAGCACCATCCCCTGGGAATAGTCACTACAGCCCCTGTAGTCTGACCTTGATTTCTGTAATGGAAGCCAGGGCCTGAGTGGAGAGTTAAGATCTGGTGATCCCCTCTGCCTCAGTACCTCAGCTTCCAACCTTGGGTCTAGGCCCCTCCCATATTCTGCAAGCAGGGACCAGAAGTGTAGGCCCAAGGTGATGAGGACCTGTGTGAGACCAAACTAGCCGTTAGCTTCAGGTCCCCTCCCAAGGGCTACACTGCAGCTCACCTCTCAGGGCAGCAGGCTTCTTGCCTGCTTAGCCATAGGGAAGAGCAGTCAAGCTAGTACTTGGCACCAGCCAGCCTTGTTTTGAAACAAAATGAACAAAATGCCCCACCTCATGCACATTCCCACCTTTGTGGTCCCTGGTGTTTGTGGGGTGAGGTTGGAGTTGGATGGACCATGGGGACCTGCCTCTACCTGTGTGTCCTGATCTTGCCACTCCACCTGCTGCAGGGAGCCGAATGCCCTCCATTGAGGATGTCCTGCAGGATGGTAGCCCCCAACATCATGGCTGCAGCCAGCCAGGTCCTCCTGCTGACATCTACCTACCAGGTAACAGCAACGGGGCCTGCTTCTCTCTGGGGGTAGGTTAGCTTGTATCTTGTATAGCTCTGTATCTTGTATAGCTCTCTGGGGGTAGGTTAGCTTGATATCTTGTATAGCTCTGAAGAGCCCAGGTCATCTCTCTGGCTCTAAGCCATTCTTTGCCAACCCCCCACAGCAGGACTCAGGCTGGTCAAGTGTGTCTACCTGGCCTCCTGCAGGCTCCAGGTATCTTTCCTACCCTAGGTGAGCTTGGCCCGGGGAAGGCAAAACAGACTGCATGCAAAAAGACAAAGTTCTTTTCTCTATCTGTTGCTTGCTAGAGCCCAGGCAGGCCAATCTAGTCCCGTTAAGATTGTTGTCTTCCTTCATCCTTGGTCTATGCCAATGGGACATTTGCCTAGGGCTAATTAACTTAGGCCACTGCCCAGGCACATTCCTAACCAGAGCAGAGAACAGGCTAAGTGTGGAAGTGCACTGGTGGAGCCAGAGTCAGTGGGGTAGGGGCTTGCTATTCTTTTCTAAAGGTTTAAGGCACAGACTATCACTTAGCTCATCTGTTGTCTGCTCTGCTGGGATGAAGTCCTCAGCTTCACACTTGGGGCTCTAAATCTGGTATGGAAGTAGGCCTCTCAACTTTGACCAGCACTGAGCTTCTAGAATTGAGATAAACAGCCATGCTACCTTCAAGGACTAGCTCTTATGAGCACCTGCTTAAGGAGCTGGGCTCCTCCCATGTGGCAAGGAAGCTTCTTTACCCCTGCTTGGTCCTGAGGCTAGTATTGCTCACTATTCTGGGGCTGCGTATGACTAGGCTTTGGTATCAGCTTTGTAATATGCTTTAGTGGAAAGGGCTTCCCACCTGCCCCTAGCTTCTGGATGTGAAGTGACTCATGGAAGCTGACCAGGGGTGCAGAGGTCACCAGATAAGGGAGAGAAGATGCTACTAGTCTCACTGGCTCACTGTGTACCCCAAACAAACTCAGATGAAGCATGTTTGGAACTGCACATCCTAAAGGGACACACAATTTCAGTATATTCTTAGAAGAATCTCAGGTATCCACCCTGATTGTAACCTTGGCTGAATGGAGAGTCAGGAAAGGGCCTTTGGCTTCCTGAGTCAACACCGTGAGCTTTGCTCCTTCAGTTGGCCCTGTGGGCACCTTGACTGCCCAGTACAGAAAACCCCATCCCCTCCTGTGGTCCACAGAGCACATCAGGCCTGGCCAAGGAAGCATCAGGCCTTGCTTAGGTTTATCACATGGGTTTGAAATAGTAGAAGAAGCTAGATCTGTGCATAGTTGAAGGTGAAGAGCCAGCCTTGATCGACTCAGCACAGGGACTATCATTGACCCTTGCCTCTGGACCTTTGCCCCACTCTGAGAACCACTCATTGCATAGCCTTGTTTGATGACAGTAGCCCACACTGCTCTTTTTCTGCACATCCTGCTGGAGCCACCACTGCACCACTAGTACATGTCAGTGCTATGTGTGTGTGTCAGTTGTGCACACCTGTGTGTCTCATACTCACTAGCCTGTTGGTTTTTGCCACTTAGAGAGGACTGCATATCTTTCTTCATCTGTGTGAGGAACATGCATACATACAGGTGTCTGTTCTCTGACAACTGGACTAATATATTAGATGGATACAGCATAATTCACTGAACCTAGGTCCTCTGGAGATGAGAAAAAGGAGGCTGGGGGAGGTCCATCACACAGTGAGAAAGTAGGCACTGGCCCTCTCCCTCTTCAGTGGCCTGGCTTCCATAAGTACAGGTGAAACTGCCTGTTGCCTGCACCTCCCGGATGTCCTTCCCAAGTTGTGGCAGTGGGAACAAGGCACATCCCTCTTAGAAAAGTTATCCAGAGTCTGCCCCACTTCTTACTACTCAATTGTACCAGGTGATGTGTGGGCAGTCTGTTTCTAGACAGTCCCTGCCCCTCCCCTCACATCCATGCCTTTCTGCTAACTGAGCTCCATCTGTCTCTCCCTCCTCTCTGCACAGCACTGGGGCCCGAGTCCTGCTCTGTTGGTATAGAGGAGTGAGCTGGTACGTGACCTTTCCTCCACACTTCTGGTGGCTTGGCTGGGTGTCTCTGGAGAGGAGCCTGCTTCTCCTCCAAGGGGTTCCTTCTTGATTCAGAGTCCAGAGCCCTCTGGTGGCCGCTGCACCTTTGCCCCTGAAAGATGGCCTCTTTAGGGCCCTGACTTTGGAGCTGGACAGGTTGCCCATTCTAGAGTATGTAGGGTCCCTGGAGCAGTGACTCAGCCCAGGCTTCTGGAGTCAATGTCCCCAGCTGGAGGCAGGAGTTGGAGGATCAGGGTGCTCTAGGGAGATGTGAGGCAGCATCCCTAGGGCAGTTCTAGCATACATTAGTCTGGCCTTGGCTTTTTAAAAAAATTGTAGTACTGGGGATTGACCCTAACACTTCATTACTTGCTAGCCAGGCACTCATCACTGAGCTACATCCCCAACCCTCTTTACTTTTTGAGACAGGGTCTTACTGAGTTGCCTGGGCTGACCTAGAAGTTGTTTGTAGATGACCAGGCCTTTAATTTACAATCCTCCTGCTTCAGCCTGTGGCTGTGGCTTAAAGCAGTAGTTCAAATTTGCACCAGCCATGGGAGGCCCAGGATTGCCCGTTCCCAGTAACGTGCCTGTCTATGGGATATATCTGTTCTCCTAGGCCCCTGGTGCTGTGTGAAGACCCGTTTCCTGTCCTAAGGGCATTCTCCATACCCTCCTTCCCTTGGCAGTGTGGCTGTCCCCTTGCCCAACATACAACAACTCTTTTGTAAACTGCTGAGTCTTTCTGTCTTGAGACCATCATTGCCACTGGGAACCTGTCTCTGGAGCCTTCTGCAACACCACACACAAGCAGTCTGTTGGAGGGATCATGAAGTTGGCACCCTGCTTGACAGGGAGATGCCAGCCACTGGGTGGCCCAGATTGGTTTTTCACAGGGGCAAGCAGGTAGGGACCCTACTTTCTTCTGAAGGTTCTGACAGAGGAACTGTAGCCTTTCATGTCAGGGTTCCCCAGCAGAACAGCACTATGGCAGCTAGGCTCACATAGCCTGTCTGGGCAGCACCCAGTTGGTGTCCAGACCTCTAGGTTGCAGCCCTTTCCCATTCACCAGGCCTGGTGTGAGTTGTGGCTCTCAGACCTTGTTTGTCTTCCTTGAGCTTTGCTTCTGGAAAATCTTACCTGTTTATTGAAACAGGTTATTTATAGCTGCGTTATTTATAGCCAGGGCAGCTTCCATGGGAGGAAGAGGCAGCTACGTTGGGCTTTAGGTTGGATTTGAGCAGTTGGAGCTTAGGGTAGACAGTAGTGGCTCGTAGCTGGGGACTGTACCATAGAACTGTCTTTTGTGAAGCCACAGTTCCTGAAGAAAAAGGCAGAGCCAGGGCTGTCACAGGTGCTGCTGGGAATGGCCTCTGCCCTGGAACGCCACTTTGCAGAGCCAAAGAGGTAAGAGTCTGGGACTGAGCAGAGCAGGCCTCTGTGGAAGATAGATAGGTATTAGGGCTCTCTTCTGTGGAACTGCTTGCCTGGACTGCCCAGGCACTAATTTGCTTTGGCCCCCATTTGCTTCCTTCCCCTGTGCTAGGGTTGACTGAATTCTAGCTAACTGAGTTGTAAACCTCATGGCTGGACCATGGCCCTTGAGATCCAGGAAGTGCAGGTGAGGGTGAGGGCAGGAGACCCAGGGACCATGTGCCTACGGCTCCACTGCCTGGTGTCCAGGGGTGATCTGTCCTAGGTACGGGGGATAGACTTCACTCACTGACTAGGACAGAAGTGTCCCTAGCGTTCGGTGTGGTAACATCTGCTGTTCCTGCCAGATAGTCATGTTCCTAGGTAGGGGGTGGAATGTGCTGGGTGGTCCCATGAAGCTCTGGATTGAGAGGAACAGGTGTATGACCACCAGTCCATTATGTGTCCTCCTCTCTGTTCCCACCCACAGGATGGTCCACCTCCATGGAGACACCCCACAGCCTCAGCACCACCAGTCCCCCCTGGCCTCCACTTGGTGGCTCCAGTCCTGAACCTGGAGCCACTGAGCTGACTCCGCTCTGAGAACCTGGTTCAACTGGCAGCACTGAGGCCTCAGCACCCCAGACTTTGCCAGGGGGCTTCCCTGGACCCCAGTATGACCCGGCCTCTCCTGTCTGCATGTCTAGTGTGACCACCAGGCTCTTGAGGGGCCATAGTGACCCTTGATGAACAAGCACAGTGGACTGTCCCCTCTACAAACCTCTTTTTCTATGGTCAATATATTTGTAAATGGTACAAGATGAAGGACAGCAGCTTTCTCCCTGGGCCCTGGACCCTGGGCCCTGGACAGACTCCAGTTGCCAAAGTTGATGCTCTGAGAACTTAGCAAACCACCAAAAGAGAATCTACCCATGAGTGAAGTGTCTTCATAGATGTTCTGGAAGGTGGGCAACCGAGATTACGGTAAATGAAGGAAACAGTGCCTGTCTGCCTGTCCTATGTGTGTGTCCCCTGAGGCACTAGCTGTCACTGCTGCTTTCACTCAGTGTGTGTTGTAGCTATGGATGGCCCTCCCTGAGGCCTTTAGGCATCACCTGCTCAGCTCTCTGCTGGTGACTTCTGGCACCTGGTCACCTGCCCCAGCATATAGCCCTTCCTCCAGCAGCTGTGGGCAGCTGCCTGACCTCAGCCACCAAGCCACTTGCAGTGGTTGGGGTCCATTACCCCCTCACAGGTCCTGCTTCACTCACCTCACAGCCTCTAAGGTGGGTATTTGTGCTCAGTGAGCAGCACTGCCCATCCATGTGCCAGGGAAGGGCATGAGCAGCTTCCATAATGTGCCCATCACCATTTACTTACCCTCTTGGATTTCTCTTTACTATCTGAGATTCCCATGGTGGGGCCTGCCTAGGGAAGAGTGAACCCCAAGGTGATGCTTTGTTTCTAAGGCAACCTTGAAATGGAAAGGTAAAGGGGGCGCCCAGCATGGGTGACCCCAGGGCAGAGCTGCCCTAGGCAGTACAGCACCCCTGTGGAAGGACTGGCTGTGGACAGCCTGTAATGTATGGAGCCCACCTTCAGGCTGAGTTAGTTACTGAGGCTAACTTGGTCTCTGGTAAGCCTGCGAGCAGAAACCTGGTCTGTGTATCAGTCTGCCTTCTCCCTGCTGTATGCACAGGTGAGCATGTGCATGCCTACCCCCTCCTACTTGCCAACACCCTCGTCTCTGGCCGTGGTACTGGTACCAGTACTTTGAAGGATGAGATGCAGACTGGCTTGTCTCAGATTTACACGGGCTCATTTTATGTATTCTGGCTAGTTTTTGGTTGGTTTTTACTGTATATTTATAGTAATAAAATAATGCAGCAATATTCTGTGTGTGCCTTCCTCTGGGCACAGCACCGTGGGCAGGCAGTTGGTTCTTACTGCAGTGGCAGGACACCACGTGGCTCCTGGTAGCTCCTAACAGATTCTGGCCTTGCCTTGACTTCCTTGTGTGAGAAGGCAGTGTGCACTGCTCCAAGCTCCAAGGAAGATGGGTTGCTATGTTAGTCGCTTGCTCTGGCTGGAGTGCAGCTGGACTTGGGGTTTGGCTCGCCTCTCCTGGGCAGGTGGTGGAGCTCCAGCCTCCAAGTGGGCAGGTGGTTCTGCTTCCTACACCCATCCCAGATACATGCATGTGGTTGCCAGAGGAGGGCAAACCCAACAAAGTCCAGGTCCGCAAGCACCCGCTCTGGAGACAGACGTTGAAGTCTTTTAGGTTTGGTTTCACAAGGGAAACGGAATCACGCGCTCGGGGCCAGGGCCCAGGGAGAAATCTGAACCCTCAGGGACAAAGTGGCCGTTGGAACTTCTGGTTGTCCTCCCTAGAACTCTGGGTCTCTGATTCCCGTGCACCTTGCACCCATAGCGTCCCCTCTAGTGACCTGTCTTGCCCGCTGTGCGTCTTGGAAGTTGTAGTTTTCTAGGTCTGGAGGCAGGGCCATGGCCTGCTCAGCTTGAGTGACAGCTGTGACTCGCTGGGCTTTGCACCCACGGACACCCATTCGCACGCGCCTGCAGCTGGAGTCCTAGATGGGCTTCCCCCAGGTGCTCGGGGATTAGTGGGGGCGGGGCCCATACACGCAGATGATCGTGGATTGGGCCTGTACGTCGTGGGCGGGGCCGCGCATGCTCATATTGGCGGCAGGCCTTGGGAGCGTCAAGATGTCGACCCTGACGGTTCCGGAGCTGAAGCAGATCAGTAGGGAGGCAGCGATGCGCCTGGGGCCGGGCTGGAGCCATTCGTGCCACGCCATGCTGTACGCTGCCAACCCTGGGCAGCTCTTTGGCCGCATTCCCATGCGCTTCTCGGTGCTGGTGAGCAGCTGGGCGGATGGGCGGGAGGCGTAGGCCGGGCCGCCCAGCGGACTTCGCGCCACGACCCGCGCTTTCCTTGCAGATGCAGATGCGCTTCGATGGACTGCTGGGCTTCCCCGGGGGCTTCGTGGATCGGCGCTTCTGGTCCCTGGAGAATGGCCTGAACCGGGTGCTGGGCCTGGGCTTAGGTGGCCTGCGCCTCACCGAAGCCGACTACTTGAGCTCACACCTGACCGAGGGTCCACATCGCGTGGTGGCGCACCTGTATGCGCGGCAGCTGACGCTGGAGCAGCTGCACGCAGTGGAGATCAGCGCTGTGCACTCGCGGGACCACGGCCTGGAGGTGGGGCCACCGCCCGGTGCCTGCCCCCATTCCCATTCCCGAGGTTTGGCTCTGGCACTGCAGAAGGCATCGATGGGTAACACATCCCTCTCAGGGCCCTCACTCTGGCCGCCCTGGGTGGGAAGAGGCTTGGAGTCCCAGGCTGGGGCTGTTTACATCTGCCTTGCTGCCTGCCATTGTCAGTCCTGGGAATAAGGCATGGGAGTGGGGAAGAAGGGGGATGGTCAGGCAGAGCCTGCTTGGGGGGGGGGTACACAAATCAGAAAGTGAGATCCTAGAGCTTGAGAGGTGTGTACACTCTTTGGGGTTTGTGGATCTGTGGTCTGAAATGGCTTGGAGGGAGACTGGGGAGCATGGGGTGCTGGTAGGGGTGGAACAGGAGCTTCCTACTGGAGGACAGGTTGGGAGTGCATGGGATTGGCCTTGAAACTTGCTTGGGGAGTAGGGGTAGTGAACTGCTACAAGAAGTACTGCTTGGTTAAACCCTGCCTGGATCTCCCCATACATCCTCAGCAAAACTGGCTGCTCTTCCCTTGGCCTGCAGGCTCTTCAGGCCAGCACCCTGCCTCTGCAAGGAGTCTGGCCCCATCCCAGCCCTCTGTCCCCATCCCAGCCCTCTGTCCCACAGGTGCTGGGCCTTGTGCGTGTCCCACTGTACACCCAGAAGGATCGGGTTGGAGGCTTTCCCAACTTCCTGAGCAATGCCTTTGTCAGCACTGCCAAGTACCAGCTCCTGTTCGCCCTCAAGGTGCTCAACATGATGCCCTCAGAAAAGCTGGCTGAGGCCTTGGCTGCAGCAACAGAGAAACAGAAGAAGGCCCTTGAGAAGCTACTTCCAGCTTCCTCTTGAAGTGGTTCCTGTGCTGCCTGCTGCCCTCCCTTGGCTGTGTCTGCTAGCAGGCCCTGGAATTCCCTTGAAGCGTGCCTTCTAATGTGTTTGGTTTTGCACCCCTTCTGACTGCAAGGGACAAGCAGGCAGCTGTTTCTCTCTACTGTCCCAAGCAGTCCTCGCACCCAGCTACCCTCTCAGGTTGGTCAGTAGGTGGCCTGGGCCTTGCTTTTCAGGCATGTTTTCACCCACCCCAGGGCTCAGACCATCCTGTGTCAATCTGAATCTCTTCCAGGCTGGTGGAGACCCACCTAGTGCCCACTTTTCCAGGGCAATCAGTTGGTACACCACTCTTCGATGTTTCAGGAGTTTTGTTTGGGAAGGTGACCCCTTATCACTTAGCCCAGAGCCCCACCCAGGTTGGGGTAGGCTATTGTACTGTTGATTTGGGATGGTATTGGGTTTTGCTACATTAGATTTTCTCCACTGGTACGTGAACAGAACGTAAGGCTTCAGGGTGGCTGTAGCCCACCTGGCTTGATTCCTGAAGATGGTCAGGGCTTTGGCCCAGCTCTGTGGAGTTGAAGGAGAAAGACAATAAAGCCACTCCTCTGCTGCTGTGTTTGCTTCTGGATGGCTGCCTAGGCCCTCGGGGTACTGGCCACATCTTCCTCTGAGGTATGGAGGCTGGGCCTAAGAACACTACCATCCTGTTGAACCCTGCAATGGCAGGTCCCCTTTCCTAACCCTGGTGACTGCTACACCGAGCTGTACCTGCCTGTCTCATTCAGCATAGGTTATAAATAACTCCAGGAGGTCTAGAAATACAAGCTTAGTGTACTGAGGGATAAATGCACCTTGGGCCAGGAAGGTCACCACTGGCAGTCTTACAGCCTAGCTGGAAAACTTCCACAGCTCAGCACTCGGCAGGCAGAGGCAGGCGGATCTCTGAGTTTGAGGCCAGGCCAGCTGGGGATACAGGGAGACCCTGACTCAAGAGACCAAAAAAAGGTCCATAGGAAAATCACCAATTAGGGTCCTGAGAGGCATGTTGCTGGATAAACTATCCACCTGGGCCTTAAGCATTCCTTTTTCCTGCAGGTTTAACAGCTTTCCAATCCGAGTCAAACGGATCCCCTGGAGCAAGGGTGACCGCACAGTCAAGGATGGAGGACAGGAGAGGTCACTGTGGCCTATTGGTATATGACTAGAAACAAGCCTCTACCAACTTGCATGTAATTTTATTTTCCAACAAATGGCACATTTTCAGGCATTCCAGTCCTCATTTGTATCGTCAAACCTCAGTGTGGCACCTGTGATGTGGGTGCACACACTCTTCCCATGGCCCTATCTGGTCTGGGCCAGAGCTGCTACAAGTTTGTGGTCTTACCACTAGGATCTAGATGCCAGGCCCTCATTCTGCCTCAGGGCTGATCCAAGCTGCCCTGACAGGGGCCAAAACCCCTTCCTGCTATCCACAGACTGTTCCCTGGGCTGGTCCTCTGCTTCCTGGGCTGTTCCTGCTCACTGTTCTGTCTTGCCTGGCACAAAACTTCAGGGTGGATCAATCACCCGACGTCAAATTCTGGAAAAAGAAGTCCTGATGAAAAGGAACAGGAAGGTGGGATGGTCCACCACACCCACAAACACATAGACACGCACCGTCCCTCCTGGCTAGGGTTCCCGCCACTTCTTTCCATTCAACATCTGCAGCTTTTCCAGGCTGTGTGTCACGGAGCACAGTGCCTGCCCTGAAGACAGGGCCTGTTAGTATTTGGTACAGGTCTCAACAGCAGAAAAGAAGGGGGATATGGGGCCAAGACTCAACCTGCAGTCCTTGGAAGAGGTGATAAAGGGGAAGAGTGAAGCTTTATTGCCCCTCTGGAGACTTACCCATCTTATGGACACAGTTTTCCAGGGCTCCTGACAGTTCAGGGAGACTTAAGGCCTGCAGAGACTCAGGCCAGCCCTTGGCATCTGTGATATAGAAGGATGGGGTTACCGGAGGTTTGTCCTCAAGCCCTTACTAAAAAAAGAAGCTCAAGGCAGGGGTGCTTTGTTGTGTTTCTACCCAACTAGAAGTATATATAGTTAAAGAGACTTGAGACCTCAAAATAGCCAGCCACTTAGGCTCACCCCTACAAAGTGAGGGTCCCAGGCCTAAGTAGAACTTGGGCCCTACATGGCCCTAGGCACCCCACTGAACAGCAGGAGTCACTGGGCAGTGGAGTCAGCTATGAAACAAAGGCCCTTATACTAAGATGGCCATGCTTCCCACCCTCCTAGGTGACAGAGCATCTCTTGTCACAGGTGAACTAGTGGGCTTGGTTCCTGGGGCAGGGGTGCCAATGTGACAGCCATACAGAGCCCACTGGTTGGAACTAGGCTTAGGACTTCTTGCCCACCCCTCATCCTAGTCCATGCTGCTTTCCTTACCTGCTGCGGGAAGAGGTGGGCTCAGGGTGGCTGTGCTAGGGGACTGGTCTCGCATCACTCGAGCTGACAGCTCAGCCTGACAGGCCCTGCCACACAAAACCAAGTTCTAGTGAGGCAGAGCCCCACTGCCAACCCTAACCCAGACCTTCAGGGAAAGGAGAGCCACCTCAGCCCACTGCCAGCCCTGGAAGCCACACTGGCCAGTGAAGAGATGAGTACATTCCCAGTCTACTTTGGTCAATCCTGGGTCTGCACTGTGGGGCACAGTGTCCAAGGGAAGCAGGTACAAACACTGCTTTCCCTTCCCTACCTGCTTAGAGGCTCAGGAAGGGGCAGTGGCTGACAAGTGAGAGGGTCTGCCTAGGGCTGTGTCTGTACTTACCGCAGCTGGTCCAAGACAAGGAAAGCATCCCGGGCCAGGGTCTGGGCCTCCTGTAGCTGGCCGTGGATGTCCTTTTGGGCACTATCCTGCTCCAGCAGGCAGCTCTCCACCACAGCCCGCAATTCTTGCTCCTGGGACACCTGGCCACGCAGGGCCTCTGCCTCCTCACAGCACTGCAGGCAAATAGCAGGCTGGAGGGGCCAAGCCAGGAGGCCAAGATCCATGCTTGTTGGTTCCCCCATAGGGCCTAGAGCCTGTTGGGCTGCCTGTCTGTTTCTCTCCATCCTCTACCTCATGGCTTGTTCTAACTGGCCTTCCCTCTTGTGTTCATCTGACTTTCCACACCCCTTCGAGTGTTGTCTGTGGGTATCCCTAGTCCCCTGCCCACACTGTTCTCTGCTTTAACAGTACAGTTCTAGTCACACTCTGCCTTCTGTGCTGGCCGCCCACTCTGACCTCTCCACTTACTTTGTGCAGCTGGATGGCAAGCTCCTGCATCTCAGCCTCTAGACGGTCAGCATAGGCCAACTCCAGGGCATCACTGGGGGGGCGGGCACTACTGTGCCAGCGAGCAATGGCAGATGTCATCTTCCTTTTGGGCCCAAACAACCTGAAAGGGTGAATCAGAGGGCGCATTTCAGCTTATGCTATGTACATGGACCTTGATACCATCCTACCACTAAGGCCAGTCCCTAGGGAACTCCTGGTTCTGAAGGAGAGAGCCTGCAGGAGATCCTGGGGCAGAAGACAGAAACGAGGGTGCCCAAAGCCTCTACCATCCCTGGCTCCAGGCCTTAGACAACTGTGTCAGCCTGTCCTCTCAAAGATCCTAGGAATTTATGTCCCCTCCAGACATACACTGGTAGAATCTGTGTGGTTTACTTTGCAGCCTGGATGGCTAGTGCAGCCAGTTCTGGCTTAACTCAGTTCTATATAGAACAGCAGCTACCTAGACCCAGCCTGCAGGAAACAGTGGGCAGACACACCTTGTCTTTCCAATATCAAGTTTTGGAGTTCTGGTCATTGATGACCACTGCTACAAGCCACTATCCCTCTGAAGAGATGCTGGGGGCAGGGGCTGTAAAGGGCAGCACTTTTTGATCTTGATTCCCCATGTGGGAGCCAAACAATAAGGCACGGAAAAGCAATTTAGGCTTTTTTTGTATGTTGGCGCACTCAGCAGGCAAACGAGTTCAGGATGGTCCTTGGCTGCTAAAAAGCATGCTGTCTCAAAGCAACCACAAATGGGAGGAAAGAGTCATCGCATGTGCCTAGGGAAATGTTCAGGCTCTAAGGACCTTCAATTTGAGTCTCCAGCTGATTGATCCTCCACACACAGGCAACAACAAAAATAAAACTAGCAAACTCAAGGGAAGGGAGAGGTTCTGACTTTCATGCGATTCAAGCATCTAGTTTTTAGCAATGAAATAAAGACACGAAGACAAGTATGGCCTGTTAATAGGAAAAGACAAACCACAGAAGCTCCTTAAGAAAATTCTGATGCCAGAACTGTAAGACAAAAGACTAAAACAACTGTCTTCAGCATATTCAAAGAGCTGAAAGATGATGTGGAAAAACTCAAACTGGGAATATCAATAGAGAAAGACATAAAATGTGAGCAAAGCAGCACAGTAACTGAAATAAAGCCTCACAAAAGCAAACCTACACATGTGAAGGAAGGAACCAGCTAACGGAAGGCAATGGAAATTCAATCTGAGGAAAAAAACAGCCAAAAAAGGTCGAGGTCCAGGTGGTATGCCAAGTTTCCACTGTGGGAACCTTGGGAAGAAATGAAGGGCAAAGAGGACCTGAAGAGCTGGTGGCTAGGAACTCACCAGGCTTGCTGAAAGATGAGACAAACCTGTGAAGCCCAACAACCACCACAGAAGGTGACACCAGAACACACAGGCAAACTCTTAAGAGAGAACCCTGGAGGCAGTGACAGAGCAGCAGCTTGTCCCACACAGGGATTCTCGGTAGAATTACCTGCATATTCTCAGTGGAATTTCTGGAAGGCAAAGGCAGTCAGCCTGCCTCAACTGTCAACCAAGAATCCTTTACCTAGCAAACTGTCCTTTCAAGGTATAGGGCAGAGTCAGATACTCCCAGATAGGCAGACACCAAGGGAGCCCTGCAGGAATCAGAGCACCTAGGGGAAGAGTACCACTTCCAGTGTGAAAGAACCTCAGTTACAGTGAAGGCACAAATGCAACCTTGCAGATGGGCTGCTTCAGGATAAAAGGCTTATTGCACAGCTTGGGTTTTTACATTTAAAGGCTTTATATCCAAACCCTTGAGAAATAAGAAACCTGTGCTGCCTCCAGAATACTGACACCAGAACTGTGATGGTTACCATTTATAGAATTATTTTTTTAAATTTTATGTGTATGCATGTATTGCCTGCATGTAAGTGCAACCACGTTGTACAATGCCCATGGGGGTCAGAAGAGGCTGTCGGATCCCCTCTGGGACTGGAGTTATGGATAGTTGTTAGCTGCCATGTGGGTGCTGGGATTCAAACCTAGGTCTTCTGCAAGAACAACCAGCGTTCTTAACCGCTGAGCCATCTCTCCAGCCCCCATTTGTAGAATTCTTATATTCTAATCATGAAAAAAATGAAAATCACAAAAAAGTTAATTGGCAAAAAAATGTTCAAGGGTATGGGTGCGCAGCAGCAAGGCCATCTTGGGACCATGTCCCAAGCCACGTGCTGAACACAAAGGCCAACTTGGAAGAAAGCCTCTTATCTAGACAAGCTGCTCTTCCTTCCTGCTGGTGTACAGGGTAGAAGGAATTGGCTGGCCAAAAACCACTCAGTTGAAATAAGGGGGTGAGGGCTCTAGTCCACCCCTGGGGACTCACGTGATGCCAATTTCCTTCAGATCGCTCTCGGTGAGTGTCAGGAAGATGCGAAGGTCCACGTCCTGCTCCTCAAACACCTGCAGGTACTTCAGACACCCAATCTGCTCCAGCAGTGTGGCAAGGTCCTGGAGGAAGGAGGAGACAAGTGAGAAGCCTGGGGCCCAGAGGAGGGCTGGCAGTGGAGAACTGGTCCTCATCCCATTCTGATCCCAAGCGTGACTGGAGACTCCTCATTGCCCCTTCAGCCTTAGTGCCTCCAGCAGGGGAGGAACACTGACAGCTAGAGGCTGAGGAATCCAGCAGGCGCACTCCTTGCTGCCCTGGGGCATCTCATCACCCCTCAGAATGCCAGTTTTATAAGGAATGGCAGCATTTATCCTGCTGGGACTTGGTGGCACTGTTCTGTTCCCTGTGTCTGTGTATGGCCATCCTTGTGCTTACCCTGGCTCCATCAGGCCCTTAGCACTGCTCGCCTTCCAAAATACCATGAGGGGTGCTTGATGACATCAACTCGGTCTTTCTTCGCTTTTCAGAAATGCCCACCAGCAGCCCTCTGACCCCTGTGGGCTCACAATTGCTGCTAAGTTCATTTGCTTCGCCTCCTTCCAGCTGTGCTTCTCAACTTATTTCCATTTCTGCTCATGCTTGGTTTTAGGACAGAAAATTTTCTAAGTGCTACGTCGCTGCTTTCCTCAAAGAACCAGCCTTGAGATCTGGCACATGTCAACATGTTTGAAAAGCTCAAAGATGAGCCTGTGTACCAAGCCTGGGACCCTGGAAAGAGCTTCAGGCAGAAGCCAGCCTGTCTTTAGCAGACAAGGTGTTGGGGAGCAGCAGAACTGGGACTTTGAGCATATATTCATCAGACTCTGCTGCTGATCTACACCCTGACAACGCTGCAGTTTTTGCAAAGTACATACTGTTACTCTGTCCCTAGCTCAATAGCTTCCACCCTAAGCTTGGAGAGGTCAAGACAAGCAAGACAGCAAGTGAAAAAAGAGCCCTTCCCATGAAAAGGGAAAAAAACAATCCTGTAGCTGGGCTGCTGGCCATCAAGAAGTCCTCTCCAGATCAAGTGGAGAGCACCCAGTACCCTCTTTCAACAGTGTCTGACCCATCATGCATACATAATAAATACCCTCTAAGTCACAGAAGTGCCATGTTTCTTAGCCCAAAACCATCAGGTTCTCAAATGCTTACCTGGGGTCCTGTGTAGGGGGTCTTAGTTTGGGCGTTAGACCCTGGGGCACAGGAAGTCCCCATGCTAGGAGGCCACTGACTGTCACTGTTGCTGTAACGACTCTTGCTCTTCACATAATTCTTTGCTTGTTTTCGAACAGAGCTTTTTTGGGTGTGATCAGAATCCTGCCATGAGAGGAGTGTGTTGGAAGCAGCCCTCCCCTGGCCCCATCCTGTTACTGGCCCCATACTTCTGGCCTCTTCCGCTCTTGGCAAGGGTGAGTCATGGAGCTTTTCATGTTTCCCTGGTGACCTGGCACCTGGGCCCCGCACAGTCCTTTAGTCCTCTGGGTATATGGTGTGGTGCAAGTTAAAATTTTACCCACCTCCCACACCACCAAGGGAGGAAGGAGGGCGAGGGAGTTTCACCTCATTGCTCTCTAAGGAGGCTTCGCTGCTGAGCCCATGGGCTCTTCTTGCCAGGCCCTCACTGCTGCTGCTCCTCCGCACGGGCCCAAAGCTGGCACAGAAAGCGGGTTCCTCTGGTAACAAGGAAGATGGGATGCCTGATGACAGGCCTCACCTATGGGGCTGCCGGAGCTCAACTGCTTCTTGTACATGACTCAGTTCTGCTTGTCTGGCCCGGCTGCCTGTCCCAAGTCCCCGCCGTAGGGAGACAGAGCTTATTTTTTTCTGTGCACTCATAAATCCTACACACCTACAACAGTGCTTGGCACAGGGCAGGTACTTGGTAAGTGAGTGCTATGATTAGAAAGACTTCTGGAAAGGCCTGAACTGACCCTGTAAGTGGAACTGCACCTTAGCCTGTAGGAACCCTGGACTGTATGCTTGCCCTTACCTGCCCAGGGCAAACTCTTGCTTTTCTCACAAAAACTGGGGTCTTTATCCCATCCTATATGGGAGCCCAAGAGGTTGGGGGCGCGTACCCCGACTGCTGCTGCTGCTGCTGTCCACATCCCACTCATTGATGGGGGAGGTGACATCTCGGTAGCAGAGGCCCTCACCTTCCAGGGGGTTCTCGTCACTGCTGGTGAAAGTCATGTAGCCCCGTGGAGGCACTTGCTCTGTGTATAGAATGGGCACATGAACTCTCAGACATGAGTAAAGGCATTATGCTTCTGAGGGCTCCTGGGGTGTGGGAGCCCCACGGCTGCCACCCCGTCTCCTTGCATAGTAGTAACCTAGCCATGACTGGCTCCAAGAGACCTGTTTGCATGCACAGGAAATGACCCTGGCAGTGCCAGGGCCAACACCCAAGGCAAGGCTAGTTATTCCTCAGTACCCACTACTGCTTTCTCAGAGAAAAGTGGGCAGTGGCATGCTGGATCTATAGACTCCCCAACTGAAAAAAGACCACTCCCCAAGGCACTCAGGTTAGCTGGGCACATTTAGTATGAACCCCCAATTTACATGCAGACTTCAATCCACCAGTTGTCTGCATCCCCTATGAACTTTTTTTTTCCTTTTTTGATGATGCTGGACATGGAACCTAAGGCCTATGCATGCTAGGCAAGTATTGTAAAAAAGCTCCTACTCAAAAAAGAGAGCTTCCTGAACAGGGATAAAAAGACCCTAGGCTAGAAAGGGACAGCACAGTATAAACTTAGGTAATCCCTGAATATATGTGCCCAGAAGAAAACAAGGTGATAGGGTGTGGCTCAGTGGAAGAACACTTTCCTAGCATTCACAAGGCCTTGGGGTTCCATCCCCAGCACCTCAAACAAAAAAAACTTCAACTCCATCATGTGTGGTGGCACACATCATGTATGGTGGCACATATCTCTACTACCAGCATTCAGGAAGCTGAGGCAGAAGGGTTGCCACAAATTTGAGGCCAACCTCAAAGGCCAGTGTGAGACCTGGAAGGTAAGGAAATAGAAGCCAAATGCTGTGACCCACACTTGCAATCTCAGGTACTAGGGAGACCAGAGGGTGTAGGCAGAGCTCGGGCAGTAGGACTACAATACAAGCCTTATATGTCCCTGTAACTGCTGTGCCACCAGCATGAATAGCAACATTGTAACAAAAGAAAAAGAAAATTTGCTGACTCCTGGATTCTGTCACCAGGTCAATTCTGAGCCTTACTCCTGAAGCATAAGAGACCCAGTGCCTATCCCACTGCAGCCTGAGGCCAGAGGCCCATGCTCAGAATTCTGTACCCATCCAGACAGTCTTGGGATAGAATACCAAAGAGCCTTTGGGAAATGGGGGCTCTCACCATAGCTGGGCTGGGTCTTGCCCCCAAGTCCAATAGCTGTGATCCTGGCCAGGGCACGTGGTCCCTCGTGAATGCTGAGGCCCTTTTTCCGACAGGGCCTCTGGCGCTGAGGAACAGGCCAGGACTCATCTGAAGAACTCAGATCTTCGTATTTTCCTGCAAGACAGACACCAAAATTAAGGCAGTTAGTTTACTGATAGGCTCATTTACTAATACTAAACTCTAAGGAAATTATATATTTATAATATATATATATATATATATTTACCTAAATATACATATTGAAATATATTTAAACTATATTTGAGACAGTATCTCACTATGTCACGCAGGCTGGCCTTGAACTTGCTGCACTCCTCCTGTCTCTGCCTCCCTAATGCTGGGATTTTTTTGGGGGGGGTCTTTTTGAGACAGGGTTTCCCTGTAGCCCCAGCTGTCCTGGAACTCACTGTGTAGACCAGGCTGGCCTTGAACTCCCAGAGAGCCACCTGCCTCTGCCTCCCAAGTGCTGGGATTAAAGGCATGCACCACCATGCCTGGCAACTGGGAATTTAAAAAAAAAAATATTTTATGCCGGGCATGGTGGTGCATACGTTTAATCCGAGCACTTGAGAGGCAGAGGCAGGTGGATCTCTGGGAGTTCAAGGCTAGCCTGGTCTACATAGTGAGTTCCAGGACAGCTAGGGTTACAGGGATACCCTGTCTCAAAAAAAGACAAAAAAAAAAATTATTGTTTTTATTTTATGTGTATGCATGTATTGCCTGTATGTGGGTAAGTGCACCTGTGTCATGCAATGCCCATGGAGGACAGAAGAGGCCATCAGATCCTCTGGAACTGGAGTTACAGACCGTTGTTAGCTGCCGTGTGGGTGCTGGGATTCGAACCCAGGTCTTCTGCAAGAACAACCAGTGTTCTTAACCTCTGAGCTGTCTCTCCAGCCCATTGCTGGGAATCCTTTTAAGATTTCAGTCTTTCTTGTATGTGTGTGTGTGTGTGTGTGTGTGTACACACATGAGCAGAGGAGGCCAGCATCAGATTTCCATAGAGTTGGAGCTACAGTGTGAGCTCCCCAGGGTGGATGCTGGGAATTGAACTCGGGTCCTCTACAAGAGCAGTACACATTCTTAACCACTCAGCCACCTCTCCAGATGCATCAGCCTAACAGTGTTTAAGAAGAAAAATGTATTCACCAGAACTCAGAAAAAAACACAACTGGCAGGTCACTGGTCCACAGCAATGAGGAACTAAAAACTTACTGGGAACCGAACCTGAGTCCTCTGCAAGAGCAGCCAGTGCTTCTAACTGCTAAGCCATCTATCTCTCCAGCCCACAAGTTCCTATTTTCTTTTTCTGTCTTTTTTTTGAGAATAGGGTCTCCCTGTAGGCCCAGCTGTCCTGGAACTCACTAGGTAGACCAAGATGGCCTCAAACTCACAGAGATTCACCTGCCTCTGCCTCCCAAGTGCTGGGATTAATGGCGTGCACCACCATGCCCTATTTTCAACATAAAAGATTTCTTAGGAAGTGAATGCCATCTCTTTGCTGTTTTACACAATACTACAAATTCCTGCCCACTCTGAGCCTTACAAACTCAGCATGTCCACAGCCTTTGCCATTTTAGATCTTTTCAGTTTTTCAAAATTGATCACACTTATTAGGCAAAATGCAAGGATTAAAAAA